ATGGAGCTCCGGGGGTGCGATGGAGCTCTGGGGATGTGATTGAGCTCCAGGGCGGTGACAGAGTTCTGGAGATGTGATGGAGCTCCAGGGATGTGACAGAGGTCTGGGGGTGTGATGGAGCTCTGGGGATGTAGTGGAGCTCCAGGGATGTGATGGAGCTCTGGGGCAGTGATGGGGCTCCAGGGTGGTGATGGGAGTTCCAAGGCGGTGATGGAGTTCCAGAGTGGTGATGGAGTTCTGGGGATGTGATAGAGTTCCAAGGCGGTGATGGAGTTCCAGGGTGGCGATTGAGTTCTGGGCATGTTCTGGAGCTCCAAGGCGGTGATGGAGCTCTGGGGCAGTGATAGAGTTCCATGGGTATCCCTGGACTCCCCCGGGCCCCAGGTCCCCCCGTGCCGTGTCCGTGACAGCAGTGCCGCGGTGCTGCCTGGCACACAGGTCTGTCCGGGCGGGCAGTGCCAGCGCTGGGCAGGGCTCGGCGGGCGGTGCCCGCGGTCAGCACTCCTCGTCGGCGATGTCCAGGATGCTGCCCAGCAGCGCGGTGAAGGTGGGGCGCTCCTCAGCCTTCTGCCGGGCGAGAGGGGAGCAGTGATGGAACTGGGTCTGCCCCTGCACCCCGGGGAGCCCCGTCACCCACTGGGGCGGCTGGAGGGGGTCTCTGGGGGTGGGATCCGCTCACCTCGTGCCAGCAGCTGTACATGATGGCGTAGACCCGCTCTGAGGCCGCCTGCGGCCGGTACAGGCGCAGGCCTTGGATGACGTGCTCCGTTGTCTCGCTGTTGTTAAACCTCTCGTAAGGCATCTTCCCCAGGGAGTAAACTTCCCACATCAGAACGCCTGTTGGAGGGAATGGCAGGGAGAGCTTGTGGTGTGGGAGCGCCTGCGCCTGACCCTGGTTTGCAGGGGGGGTTCGCTGCTGTTGGGGTGCTCTTCCCGACCTCCAAGTCATTAATTCCATGCTCTTACCAAAGGACCAGACGTCAGACTTGCTGCTGAACTTGCTGTACAGAAGCACCTCAGGAGGAGACCACCGCACTGGAAACTTGGACCCCATGGAGCTTGTATACTCGTCATCTAGAACGTACCTGCAGCAGATAAATGGATCAGGGTGCCTGCCTTGGTTTTCCCATTTCACTCCTCCATGCAACCCACCAAGCCCGAAAGGAATGGGCAGCTCTCAGAGTGACCAGGGGTTTCAGTCAGCACGGGTTTCAGCAGGCAAAAATCTCCCTTTGCAAACAAGTGTGTGCTAGTGAAGATTGGGGAAGGGATAGGGTGGCACAGAGGCACAGCAAAAAGGGGATGTGGAGAGAAAGCTGCAGCCAGGAGACTAGAGGTGGGGGAAAGAAGATGCAAAGAGGAGGGGGAAACGGCTGGGGTGAGTAAGAAAGGGACAGTGGAAAGTGAAGAGGCAGAAGCTTGAGCCAGGCAGATGAAACAGAAAGACAGGAGAAGACAATGGGAAAGCAGAGCTGGAGGATGTTGGGAGCAAAGACTAAAGTGAAGACTAGACTGAAGGAGGAGATGGGGGATTGAGACAAAAAAGTGACACAGACACGTCTACCAGACCTGGAAAGACCAAAATCTGATACTTTCACAATTCCTTGGTCATTCACCAAACAGTTTCGAGCAGCCTGTGGACAGAGAGATAGAGGCAATTACTCCTACCTGATATTGCCTCTCCCATCCCCCTGTACCAGCTGAACTTCTTCTCATGCCCACCCACTTAACACTTCACTTTGTCCTTTGAGTTCACCTGGGTGGGGGCAAGCTACAAAGTCATCAGCCAAGAGAGCATAAGAGGTCTCCAAGCATCCTGTTTATCTGTGGAGGAGTGACTTCCCTCGTGGGATTTTCCCTGAACAAAGCAGCACCAGGAGATCAGGTATGGCAGGATGGCCAGTTGGCAATGCTAGCCCAAAGCCTGACAAACTGCAGGCCCAGCTTTTCATGGGGGTCGAGAGGAGGTCTCTTTTCATGTCTGAGCCAGTGATGCCTGTGCTACCGAACACAAACCCTGCCCCAGCCACAGATGCATTTCACATCTCCTGGAAAACTACCTAGTCCTGCCCTTTCTGCAATCTCTTCCTGCCTGCAGGGAAGGGACTGCAGAGCATCCCACCCATGGGTGGGCAGGGAAGCTTAGAGAGGTGTTCTGCAGAGGAGGCTGCAGAGCTGCCTCTCCTCGTATTGATGAACTATCTGGACCCTGTCCAGGACACGCTGTGGCTGTTGCTGAGCTGGACGTGTGCCCTTCAGCCACAGCCCTACCAGGTCTCGGTGCAGGAACTGCTTGGATTCCAGGTACTCCATAGCTTCACAGACATCCTTGCACATCTCCAGCAGCTCGGCAGGCTGGAACCGCTGCCGAGTTTCCCTCAGGAAGTTCAGGAGGCAGCCGTTGGCCATGTACTCCGTGATGATGAAGATGGGACGCTGCTTAGTGCAGACCCCGTAGAGCTGCACCAGCTTCTCATGAGACAGGTTCCTGTGTTGGGGACAAGGCAATTCTGAGCATCTAGAAGGCCAAGCAGCAAAGGAAGCACCTGTGAATAAAGAGAGTTTGGGAAGGGAAGGTGCTCCAGATCCAGCTGACAGTGGAAAAACTCACTAAGGAATCAGCACAAAGTCTCAGATGCATTTTGCAGAGTGTGGCACTGCCCAGGACTGTCCCTGACACCACCCAGGAGTGCAGCCACTCTGCCAAGGTGTGCCCAGCACTGACCTGCACTGTGCTCACCACTTACATCATGACTTTGGCTTCGTCTATAAACTCATCCTCTGACATGGAGCCCTCCCTGATCATCTTGATGGCGACGTCGTACTGGCCCCTCCACTTCCCGTACTTCACCACTCCAAACTGCCCCGTGCCGAGTTCCTTCAGGAAGGTCAGATCCTTGGGGTCGATCTCCCATGACCCTAGGACAGAGTGTGAGCATAATGTGGCTGCAGGTGACCTCTCCACAGGGTGCTCCCAGTCATCTGGTCTAGCATGGCCAAGAAAAGCTCACGAGCTTTTGCTCCCTGAAAAACCATCCACAAAAACATCCACAGAAGAATCTGAGACCTGTTCCTCCATGGGATGGGGAGCAAGGTAGATTGTGGGGTCTCTTGGTCAGTACTGTCACCAGAGGGCAAGGGAGTGTAGAGAAGTGATTCCTGGGAATGCTATGAGCCCTGCTGCCATGGAACAGCCAGGATCCCAGCCCTGGAAAATTGCTGCCAGTAGGGACAGACCCTGCAGCCAGCCCAGGCTGGCTTACCATAGCCAAGGCCAGCTGTGGAAGGAGCACTTTTCTGGTGCTGGGACACGGGGTACTTCAGTCTGGATATGAGCCCTGAAAAACAAAAATGTGGATTGCCACACTAGGTTTACCTGCCACATTCCAACAGGGAACACGAGCCTCCTGCCTTCAGCACAGGAAGGTGAGGGTACCATGGTGTCAGTAAAAACACTACTGGCTTCAGTGTGTCTCCCAAACACTGACCTGCAGAATTGTGCTGGTGGTACGTGATGAGCTCTGGGATGCTGTTGAACAGGTGCTTTTCTGCCAGGTAATACTGGTTCTGGGGGGTGCAGCACACCACGTAGTGGCGGATCGTACCCTGGGGGTCTCTGGAGAGAGAGAGTGGCATGGGGAGGACAGTGGCATGGGGAGGACAGGCAGAGGGTGAGGGTTGCCTGGGGGAGCCCTCTGAGGGAGGAGCAAGCTGTTGTGAGATCCACTTACACAGAGGACTTGGCATAGACAGAGACAGTGTATTTCCCTGTCTTGCTGGTGGAGTCTCGGACGATGAAGCCCCCTTCCTTACCCTAAAACAGAAGGGGGAAAGGGCACTGGGTGGTTGTTAGGAGGTGTGACTGTAACAGGCAAGACTTGAAGTGAGTGAAGATCACAGCATGGCTGGAGAAGGTGCAGTGAGTCAGAGGATTCCTAAATCCAGTCTCTGCCTGTGGGGCCACCTCCTGAAGTGACTGCTCAGAGGAGGTCATGTTAGGATAGAGATGGTTCGTGGGGCTGTTGGGGCAATACTCCCTCCCAGCACAAGCCAGGCTTGGTCCCATGCTGGGCACAATGTGAGAACAGCCCATGGAGGGCTGGTGTGTAGAACAGACCCAGGCTCAGGAGGCAACACTTACCTCCTGTTTCAGCAGTTGCTCTGCTTGGCTCCGAGTGATATTCTTTGAGTACCACCTGAAACAGGGACACAGCCATCAGGGAAATCCCAGCCACCATTGTCCCCAGCCCAGTCTGACCCTGGCCCAGCCAGAAGAGGTGGTGCAGAGAGCACCATGGGGCTGCCACAGGGCTGGAGGCTTCCAAAGGGTGTGCGAGAGGGAGAGCGACCCAGCCAGGCTGGGTTAGCAGAACTGAATGGAAAGCTGAATGGAAAAACTGAATGGAAAAAGTCTCCAACCAAGTGGAACTTGCCAGGCCCCTGTGCCTTCTCTTACTCAAAGATCTCCAGGGAATTGCTGGTTTCAGTGACGTAGTTGCTGGGGATGTATCCTTCCCTCCTGTAGGAGAAAAGGGGCTGGTTACACACTGATGGAGGAGGCCAAGGGGATGGGGTGTTCCTGTCCAGGGAGGCCAAGTAGAAATGGGCTTAAAAACCTTGATGCAACCCCATCTTTGTTCATGTCTGGGCAGGGCTGATAGCCCAGCCTGCTTCAGCCTCCCTCACCCTCCTCCCTGGGGAGGCCACAGGTGGGCGGGCAGGGATGTGTTTGCCCACCAGTGCCTGGGCACCAGGCCGAGTGCCAGGGCAGTGGGAGCTCTTACCCGTTCTTGTCTAGAGCTTTCCACCAGGGCAGGTGGCTCTCCTCCAGGATGAAGTACTCCTCTCCCTTCTGCAGCTGCAGGTCCTGCGCGTTCATCGGCTGGTAGTTGTAGAGGGCCACCACCTTCTTCATCTCGCCCGCTGTGCTGGGGGCCGGCTCACGAGGCAGAGGCTTCATCACCATCTTCCCACAGAGAGGGGGAGTGTGGGACGTGGTGAGGCTGGCAGGGCACCAGGAGAGACCCTCCCCAGCCCTGGCAGGGCACTGGGCTCAGGCCAGCTCAGTGCAGCATTTGTCTCAGCTCCCACATGTCTCCTTCATCACTTTTTATCACAATATTTCTTCATGCCTTCACAAAAGGTAAGTGTTTTCTCCCTACGTTTTGGCTTAACCCATGACTCCTCCAGCCTACATGAGGGCTTTATCCTCCCAGCTGCCCCAGGGAACCTCAGAGTTGAGATCATTTGACTTTCCTACAGGCCTTTGAGTTCCACCCCTTGCTTCAAGCTCCTTCTCCCTTAGGACACCACCTTGACATCGGTCCCCAGAGCTGAGTCCTGTACATCTCTAAGCAGTCATTGGACATGTTGGCTTTTACCAGGCAGACCTTTTCTCAAACACCTTGGAGCCAACCCACATGCTGAGGCTGGCCCTTACCTGGTCCTCCTCAGGAGTTGGGGGAAGAGGCTTCTTTGTCTTGCGATGCGACCGCCCAGTTTTCAAACCTTCGGAACAGAGGAGGGACTAAGGTGAGAAGAGATCCCCAGGACTGTGCTGTGGTGGTCCCCGAGGGGGGGGGAATGAGGCAATGGGAGGGTGCCCAGTGTCTTACTGCCATTCCTGCTCTCCAGAATTTGGCAGCCCATGGCATTCTTGGCAGTCTGGGAGCAGCACAGGTACTGGCCATCGATCCAGAAGCAGGGGTGATACTTCTGAACCAGGTCGCTGTTGTACCGAATCACTGTGGCAGAGGAGGGGAGATGCGTGTGACCCAGGGCTGTGTCCCTGGCCTCCTGTGGAGACCTCTCTGCTCCCTGAATGCAGACAGGCAGCCCTATTAAATCATTCCACCCTCAGCTGTGTTACTGACACAGTCCCCTGTGGCCCTGCTGCCCAGGTTTCCCTCAGCTCGTTGCCCTCGTTCCAGAGCTGTGGCTGTGAATCGATCCCTGTGCCACAAAGCCCCCAGCTCAGGAAGGGCCAGGCTTGCCTCTCAGATTTGATCAAAGCTCTTGAGCAGCTCTGCAAAGGGAGTCCTGCTGGGACTGGCCCTCCTGCCAGCTGAAATATCCAGCAACCCCCCAGGCCTATGGTTCACAGCTCTTTTGAGCCCTATTTTTGAAAAGTGGAGAGGAAGGCCAGTGCTGTGCCTGGATTGTCATGGGGAGAGGAGGGCACTGCTACCATACCCTGCCTGCTTGGAGGCTTCCCTTGCTAGGACACCACTCCCTTGCCAAGCAGGCACCAAACAGCTTCTTCATACTTCTCCCCAGTCTAGAGGGACGACTGGATGTGCCTAAACACCAAGGCAGCACAGGGCTGGCCCACAGCAGCTCCACGGGGTAGAGAGAGCCCCTTTTCTGGATGAGGACATCCCAGCAGCAAAAGGCCAGCATTTTCTCTCCCCTTTTCCCTGTGGATTTTACACTGACTTCAGCTGCCAGTGGATTTTACACTGGCTTCAATCCTCCTCCCAGAGCAGGGAAGTGGGGAGAGGGCTGGCTGCCTGTCAGGGCTCTTGTGAGATAACTGACTTCCCTGTTATCAGCCTGCTCTTCCGCCTCGCTGGAGCCAACTTCCCTGTGTCAATTCAGGCAGCTAATCTCACCCCACCAGCACAAAGCCACAGAAAGATACACACGCACGCCCGCAAGACACACATACAGGCAGCTCCAGCAGATTTGGGCTGATCCAAGCCCCTTGGCAATGCTGCTTCAACACACTCTCAGCTTGGCAAGGCAGCACCAACACAGCTGAGCATTAGCTCTGAGCAAGGCTCTGGATGGGTTGGGAAAGACACTCCCTGGTTCTCAGCAGGCTTGTTGTCCATGTTTCCTAAAGCACCCAACCCTCCCCTTGCAAGGCAGTACAGCTGTGTGGCCACATCTGCTGTTTTCTCTTGCCCCCAATCATTTCTGAGCCTGCCTGAGCTACTTTGGAGCAGGTTTGTGAGAGGACAAGAAGCCTCAGCCAAGCTAGGTGAGGTGCTGCAGAAGTTAGAGGGTGACAGAGGTGAGTGTCCACCCCCTCAGAGCAGGAGCAGCTCCCTCCTCCACGGGCATGGGAATACATAACCATGAGCCAGCAAGCCCCTGGAAGCCTGATGCTCTGGGTCAGGCCCAGGCACAGCTGAGTGCCTGTGTTTGCTTTCCAAGGGAGCTGCAGAGCCCCCAGACTCACCGCTCTTCAGCTGATGGATCCAGCGTTTGCGCAGCTCCTCAGTTGGGGAGAAGATGTAGAGGGGCCCTTCGTCATAGACCACCTGCAGGACCCCACACCTCAGCACCTCAGGCCACGGGGCTCACGGGGGGAGCCAGGGCTCGTGGCTACCCTGAGCAGCTGGTGCAGGGCAAGCCCGTGCTGGTGCCTGCTGGCCCTGCACGCTGCTCTTGGGACCGTGACAAAGAGGTTATAAATAAGCCCCCTCCCCTGAGATTTTTCCACTTCCTTCTCTGACTTTCGGTGTGCTGGGGGCCGCACTGGGTGCCAGCAGGGCAGGCAGCTGGGCTGGGGCTGAGCAAGCAGCCGGCAGATAGCATCCCTCCAGCATCAGCCAGGGGACTGAGAGGAGCAGGACAGAGCTCAGAAGCAGGTTTCCATCTAAGCAATCTCCTTAAATAGATCTGCCTCGGCTCAAAGCAGCTCACCTGGCTGCCCTGTGCAGTAAGGGCAGCAGCAGGGTGTCCCCAAACAGCTGAGTGACAGTTGGCACTGGGGCAGTGATGCCATGTTTGACCCCAGGTCCCTCTGGGGTCCTCCCCCCAGCACCCTGCACGGCCCAGCAAAGGGGGTGCAGTGAGGACTCACCTGGAAGGGGTAGGGGAACCGTTCAATGATTGAGATCTGCTCCATGTTGTTGTAATCCTCTCCTTTTCTCTGGAAGAGAGAGGCAGAGGTGGACATTGGCATCCCGTGCTTGGCTGTTGGCACCTCCCCTGCGACCCACAGCCTTTGGCATCCCCCTGCTCTGCATCAAGCTGGACCCCCTGGAATGGTATGGGCAGAGCGCCCCATGCAAAGCAGGGCTGTTCCCCACTGCCACCACCCCAGGGAAGGGTAACTCTCCCTATTCTCCCAGCAAGGGGACAGAGGGACAGATGCAGGGAACGCCGGGACCTTCCTCACCGGGACCTGCCGCTCGGGGGGAGGGTTGTTCTCAGGTGCCACCATCTCCACACAGGTGATCTTCTCAATGTCCACAGAGCCCTTCTTACTGCCCCGGCGCTGCAAGAGACAGGCTTGGCTCAAACGGTCACCAAACCCATGTCCCCATCCAACTACCCCTTGGGCTGGGTGCTGGAGACCCCTGGGCACTGCCATGGCACAGTCCCTGTGGCTGCAGACTCACCCCTCGCTCAAAGTCATACTCGTAGTAGGACAGCTTGCTCTCTGTCAGCAGGAACAGGCGCTTCTTGAAGTTGAGGGGAGAAGTTTTCTTTTTCTGCTGCGAGCGCTTCAGGAAGATGCTCTCCAGGAGGACACTGGCCATGTCACCCCCCAGCCTCCTCCGCGCTGTGCTCGTGGGGTTGCTGTGGGCAAGACAACACTGACAGGGCACTTGCTCAGCCCAAAAACTGCTGGACCTCCCTCAGGTGCTCTCTTCTCCCTGCCCAAAGGGCAGGCAGGGTCACTGGGACCCCCGTGGCGGGGAGAACCGGCTGCAGAGGGGTGTGGGCAGGTCAGTGGGGGTTATTTGCGGTGTGACCTCTCCTGGCCCCTGTCCCACAGTAGGCTGCAGACCAAGCCACCACCCGAATGGCTTCTGCTCCTGCTGGACGCTGGAGAGGCTCGAAGGGTGTGCAGAGGGATGGACAGCTGGAGAGGGAGGGAGACTGGGAAGCTGTGAGCAGCATATCCCCGGGGAGGAGCGTGGAGCCCGAGCAGTGACACCCTGCAGGCGCCTCCTCCCCTCCAGCACTGTGCATGTGCACTTGCGTGGGCCGTTTCCTCCTGCCCCACCGCAGGCACTCTGTGCTGGGGACGTGCTGACTTGGCAGCACACAAGGGGTGGTCACGGGAGGCCAATCCCTAAAATGTGCTGGGTAGGTCTTGGCCCTCAATAGTCACGTGCTGGGCTGTCAAGAGCACGGAGTAGCCCTAAAGTCATCCTTCACCTCTGTGTCCATGGACCCTGCAGGAGTGCAAGAACAATGCTCAATCCCCTTTCCTCCCCTGCAAGCAGCACTTGTTGGAGGCCAGACTTCAAGAGCTGCCTTTGGCTAGCAGCCAGAGGGGTTAAATCCTCCCCAAACCCTCCTCAGCAAAGCTGTCCTGAGCCTCTCCAGGGCAGGCTGGGGCAGGAAAGGGTTCAGATGAGAGCTCTGCATCCCACTGCTGCTCTGCCTTCAGAGGTTGTAAATCATCCCAGCCCACCTCTTGAAGAAGCCCATCCATCTCACTCTGTCCCTCCATGCTGTTCCCAGGACCTGTGACATCCAGACGGTTCCAGCAGCCCCCAGAGCCCTGTGGCTGGAGCTGTGGGCTGTGACCAACACCTGACTCCAGCCTGGACCTAATGGGGAGCTGTTGAGTGAACTCTGTGGAGCCACTGCTGAACTGTGATCCCCTGGAGCCCTGCTCCATGTCTCCTGCCCTGACCACCTACACTCCCTGCTTCCCCTTCACCTACACCTTGTTCCCTTTTTTCTCCTGCTTTGGAGGTCAAACTGGGAGAAGCTGTTTTTCTCCCCTGTTCCCCACAGCTCGTCTCCTCTGTGGGAGGCTCAGAGGTGGGCCAGACCTGCTCTGTCCCTGCCTGTCCTTTGGGGTGGTGGGTGCCCCATGGGACTCACCCCCTCAGCCATCACTGTGTGCTCAGACAGCTGAGGTGGTGAGTGGGTGGGTGGAAACATGTCCTGTGCCCCCCCAGCTAATGGGACTTCCTGCCACGCTCACACCTCAGCCAAGCGTGCTCTGAGACCACCCCCAGCCTGGCACTCACTGCTGGCCCCTCCACCACGGTCCCGGGGCCACCCCTGCACAGGCAAACCCTGCCCCCTGCCCGATTCCTGCCAAGGAGCTGAGCCACTGGTGGATGGGGGGCTGGAGGGCGGCTGGCACGCTCGGGACAAGAGAGAAGGGTGACAGGGTGTCTGGGAATGACACACTTCACAGCCCCCATGTTTCAGGCTGAGCCTGGAGGGTGTCAAAATCGACGGGTGGGAGGGACAGAGGAGGAAACCTCCCGCGCAAGAGAGATGGGTGAACAAACACAGAGCTGCATCCCAGCAGTGCCC